CCATTTTGAATTTCATAATTTTGACGAAGGAATCATAATCTCTGACTCCAAAAACCCCCATATACCAATTTTGAATAGAATCGGATCATAATTAATATAACTCGTCAGCCATATTGGATCCGCCATCTTGAATTTCCAGATACAAATTTCGAATAAAATCGGATTTCAGAATTCGTCCGTCATATTAGATCCGCCAAGTTGACCTTCCAAATTGAAAAATAGTTTACGACCGATTTTCAGACCTACCGAATATGCACAAAAATTTTCGTAGGTAAGATCCCTAGACCATAGCCGACTATTATTTTCTTCATAATTCTATCTATCGAGAGTATTTTGGAAATATGATAAGACCATATGAACATTAATAATCTGAATCAACTCCCGAGAGCTTTAGCTAGTTTCTAATTGTCATGGTCGAGTGATATTCAGGAAGAGTATTTCATGAACAGCATAATGATATATTTTCATATGAATAGATATCCGGAAATAGGCAGGAGAGCAGATTAGGTACAATTTATTCGTGAACATTTTTTACCTGTCTTCGTGGAAATTGTAATCGTCAATCTGACGTGAAGGGAAAAAGGATCAACGAATGCTAAAAAATAAATGTCGACGTCCGTATCGTCTAGTAATTTATGGGATCATTTATTAATTCCATACAAAATGGCGGAGGGTCGTAAATAAAAGGAACGATCTGCCACAAGGGACCTATCGAAAAAATTGAATTGGCAGCTAAATTAAATGACTATGTTCGGCCATTCGGATTGGAAAAAATGTTATTCGATGGTTACAGTCGCGGCCAAAAATTCTACTGTTTACATTGTGTTGAAAATCGTACAATTCATTAGACACTACCTCGGAAAATACTGTGAAAAGTTGAAAATATGACACTTTGTATTTTCTTGTACAATATTCTGCTTAAGAATCGAGATTCCAACTCAGTGGGTCCATTTTCTGACAATACAAAAATGATATGTATTTTTTTTCCTTAATGTATGTTCAAGAGAGACATGTAGGTAGCCCATAGGGGTTCCATTTGAAAAAAAAAGTTATGTTTGATCAAAATGTGATCTGACTGAAATGATTTATCGATCAGTGACACAAAGAATGGTTTTTCAGAAATGGCAAACATATTTTGTCAAGCACTTTCCAAAAAAAGGATTTTTTGATGAATCTAGCGATACTAATTTATTTGCGATTACAAATAAAAACATAAATTCCATATTATTGAGGAAACTACTGATGGATATTGATTAATTCACATTTGTCAAGTGTGTCATGGATAGCCATAATGCATTATATTTTGCAGTTATTTTTTTCGAGTCTACTTTGGAAAACTCAGGTATTCACTTGTCACTTTGATTATGTTCTTTTGACAGAGTAAAATCATTGAAAGTGACTCTAAAAAAATGAAGTAGGTGTGGAAACTACTGGAAATGTCATATTTTTATCGAAAATTGTCTCAGGAATTCAAAAATGGTATAATATACAGGGTGTTCCATTTAAAAATCCGAATTCAGAGCCATTTACGGAAGTAACCAGGAAGAGAAAACATGCGAAACCTTTCCTCTCCACATACCATATACCAATATCAAATTTCATCATGAAACACCGAATATTCTATAAGTTATTGTCTGATAAATTCATCGGTAAAAGTGCACTTATCATGCGATGGGGTTTTTTTCGAAAATTTTTTTTTGGTACTTACGTATTTTCGTCTGAAAAACACGAATTTCATAATGAAAATGTGAACAAACCATTATTTATTAAGATATTTCACTATAAAGTTACAAATTGCACCATCTTTTCCGCCTGTCTTCTGGATCACATTTAGAACAATTTGCCCTTCTTTTTCCATCATTGGACAATTTATATATATCACACAATGTTGGACACATTTTTTTTATTATATGAGTCAACTAGAAATATGATTTTCTTGTGATTTATCCATGTTTAGTGAAAAGAAGGAAGAATATAATTTGAAATAATGGCGTGTGTAATGTCATTCCAAAAGCAATCTATTGACATTTGACATCTCGTATTTGGATTGCATATATGGATTAAATGGCCGTCATCTGGTATGCTTGCTCACTAAATAGGAAAAACTCGCCATAAAAATTATATTTCCTGTTGAATTTTTTATCTTAAAATGTGTCAGTGAAGTACATCATGAGTATATAAAGTGTCCAATGACAAAATAATAAGAGCAAGTACCTGTAAATGCATCCAACACAAGGGGGAAAAGAAGGCAAAATTTTGAACTTTTTCTTGAAATATTTCGATCTCGATTTCGATAAATAGTGGTTTGTTCACATTTTCATTATGAAATTCGTGTTTTTCAGACGAAAATACGTAAGTACCAAAAAAAATTTTCGAAAAAAACCCCATCGCATGATAAGTGCACTTTTACCAATTCATCAACACCCGCTATAGCTTAGTCTTATTAGTCTTTAGGCTTAGGAATCGAAACAAGCTGTCATCAGAAGCATCATAGGTAATCAGTAATCTTTGGTAAGGTAAAATGCTGATGAACTATATAAACTATAAGAATCAAAAAAAATATCAAATTGAAAATCTCTGGAAGTTCATTGTTCTATTCGAATTTTTCAACAAATCAGCTTCTTGGAATATCAATGTGATAGTCGATTTTTAATTTGGTTGAGTTCATATTATAAACTCAGCATAACCTAAAATATCTCGAGTAATGATGATTGAAAACTAGGTAGAAATCAGATTTGCGTATGGAAATCATATCAAAAAGACTTCATACATTTTCCTCTTATAACTACAATACCTACTAACAAAACGTCGAAACTTTTGAATATTTGATAACATTAGCCATTTCTTTTGTTCATCGTATCGTGAGAGAAAACGAGCAGGTAATATGCTTTAAAAACTCATTCGAGTAAAAAAAATATATAGGTACATGGAAACAACGACAAGCAAGAGCATATAATAATTGTGAACCGAATAACCAAATAATATACCATTTTGTCCAACGTCAATAATTAAAAAAGGGCAATTATTTTGAAACTTACATCTCTCAGGTGTTTTCTCACATACGCACACAGTCTATTTTCACGGTGCAACCTCCTCGCGGCACAAACAAAACAACTAAAAACAACACAAAAACGGCAACAACAAAAAGCAATCGCACGATTCGTCGTTGTTTTTCTGTCAGCTGAAAGACGCCATCATGACCGCCACAGCAGCGTCGAGACGGAAAATAATCAATAAACGCACGATAGCGAAAGTCGGGACGGTCTACGGTCGCCTGGCAACCCCTCAACTCCGTACTCCAAAGGAAAATGAACAGGACCGGACTCGAATATTTCTACAATTGCAACAAAGGGAATTGAAAAGTAATCAACGAAAGATCGAAATTTGGGTATCGAATAGTAGAATTGAGGGTGAAACTGCATTTATCATGCGATGTTTTTTTTCAAAATTGTCTTTGGTACCTACATATTTTTGTCTGAAAAACACGAATTTCATAATGAAAATGTGAACAAACCATTATACAGGGTGTCTGTAAAAGGTCTTCACAAAAACATACCACATATTCCCCAGACCAAAATAAGTCGATTTATGTAAAATTACCTTAGTACAAAGTTGCATCGTTTGGGCTCCAGAGGGCCTTGAAGTTACAATTTTTAAATCGTTTTTCCCATATGAATTTAAAACGGCATGTGCGATTTTGCTGAAATTTGGTATATTGATAGAGTTTTATGTGGCAAAAAAAATAGTGTTGAAATTTTGTCCGATAATAATACATAGGCGTAGAACTTGATTTTTTAAATAATTACACCTTCAAAAATTCTACGCCAATGGAAGAGAAGGCGTTTGAGTATGAAACTTAGATTGCGCAACTCATTTACTTTAAAAAAGGTACTTTTGATAAGACTCGATTGCTCTCATGGTTTTGACGAAATTCGCATTTTAGTAATTTAAGAACATAAACAATAATTATTATAATACAAACTTTGTCAAAACCATGAGAGTAAATCGAGTGTTATCAAGAGTACTTTTTTGTAGTTAATGAGTACCCAATCCAACTTTCATACTCAAACCCCTTTTCTGCCATTGGCGTAGAATTTTTAAAAGTGCAATCATTTAAAAAATCAAGATCTGGTCCAGATATCTTGCACGAAATACAAATCTTCCCTTCTTTGGAATATATTCACGTGCACACAGCCCAGCAACCCTCACTAATATTCATACTAGCTACGCGACATCTTTGTTATGCTAATGATTTATTTCAATCTATAGAATACACAAGGATGGATAAAAAATGTTTTACAGAGGAAAGTTTTTTTCCATTTTTTCGATTGGGAGACCCATTACATTTTTTTTATGTTAAGTATAATTATTGGAAAACAAACATTTCAATGGCTATTTGTAACTATCCTGATTTATTGAGGCTTCATTAGTTTTTGAATGAAATTATGGTTGAATGGTTATCGTCGTAGTGGTCGATTTTCACTCATGAAGAAACTACCATTCGTATTTAATGTCATCATAAGATTCTCTGTGTACTATATTTTCCTAATGAGCTGAGTCCGGTTCTGTTCTCTTAATCGTCCAACACAAATTGCACGTTGCACAACTACCAGTGTTGTCTTTACAAAACAAAACATGGACAAAATATGAAATGAAGGACACCATCATGCCAAATATTCTTGGATAATCCTATCTGTAAATTGAGAATACTTGATATCAAGCACATCAATGATTTCACTGATGAATCATTCATATAATCGCACTGTCTTCACATAGTACTATAGTAGCCTGGCTTTGATTTTTGATTGGCATAACAATATATAAAAAAATATTGTATGTTGAATAAGATGCCAACAAAATCCTGATTCTCATCATCCAATTTTGACATTCCAAATGGAAATTGGATGAATTTTGTCGGTCTCCACCGAAATAAGAGCCATGAAGATTATTTCGGCGTATCCAGTATTTCCTTCTACACGTGGCAACGCCGCAATACTAACCTTATCCTCCGCCTCTTCAGCTCTGCCCTCCGCCTCCAAAACCCTCTGCTCCAACTCGGATAGCTGGAAAAAATGAGAAAAAACAATTACTTTCTCGCTAGAAAAAGAGTACTCAAATCGAGGGAAAACAAAACATCCTGAACAACGATGCCAAATCAGATCGATAGAGAGGATAGCGCTCGAATAGAAGTGGAAGTAGGGTTCTTTGTAGAGTACAGTCTGTAAAGGATTTTGAACTGCCCTCTGGCGCAGGGAGCATGATGGTTGTGGTTCGATAGGGGATGAATAGATGTCGCTAGAAGTAGTATTTATCCAAGGTTGGTAGAATTGATGATTATTTGTAGAGGAAGGTTGCCACGATCAGAAAACGCGGTGAGGGGAAGTGGTAATTCGTGACGTAATCACATACAAAATGTATCGTTTGGGTCATAGAAATGTATGTATAATTATAGATCACAGCTGGATTGGTAAATCTTTTTGAATACAGTTCTAGAATATACAGTGTGACCCACTTCTGATGGAAACACCCATGTATCTTACGTAATCGTTGGGTAAGGATCCTGAAATTTGCTGGAGCGAGAGATATACCAAAAATGCATTCTATGACCAAGTGGGGTCATCTTCAGTGAAATACACTGCTCGCCAACAGCCATGGAACCACCCCAATTTCCGGAAAATGATATAAGGAGTCAAAATAGGTTAAAAATCACTTCGGATTCGGAATCAGGACGCCCAATTCACTGACTATTCATAGGTTTCTTAGAGAAATTGAATTTTGTCTTACTTCTCATGGAAGCACCCCCGTATCTCACGTAATTATTGAGGTAGGTTTCTGAAATTTGCAGGAGGAAGGGAAAGTCCAATGATAAAGTCGATTACGTAAGATACGGGGGTGCTTCCGTAAAAAGTGCGACAAAATTAAATTTTTCAGAACTGAAAATTTTCCAGAAAACATATGAATAGTTGGTGAATCGGGCGACCTGATTCCCAATCTGGAGTGATTTTCGACCTATTTTGACTCCTAAGTCCGAAATGGAATTTTCGATGGGATTAAGTCACGAATTACTATACTCCACCTCACCACGTTTTGCTGATCGATGCAACCTGCCTTTTCAAATAATCATCAATTCTACTAACCTTGGTATTTATCAAGGTTGGTAGAATTGATGATTATTTGTATTTGGAGCCGACTTGGAGAAGTTTTGTAACTTTTCTGAACTGAATTTACTGGATATAAATGTTGAAAAGTGCAAGGTGATGCGTTTTTATAAAATACAAAGAATCCAATTGTATGTGATTAGTTTATTGATAATGTCAATTTGCAGTCTGTTGATAGTGTTGATTATATAAATGATTTAGTTGTGTTTGACAAAGACCTTTCAGTATCAATGATCACATACATAGTATTTGCAATACGGCCTTGAGAATGCTCGGATTTGTGGAAAGACATACTCAGGATATATCCAATATTGAACCGATGAAAACATCATATCCATCGTTGGTATAGTGTTCTGGAATACAATAGTATAATCTGGTCGCCACTTTATCTTGCTAACAAGGAAAGACTTGAAAGAGTCCAGAGCAAACTTGCTCTGATCTTCTCTCTGCACATAATTTCAAATAACTCCATTGATTGCTCTGACATATTGAAAAAATTGTTTATCAATGATAATCCTAGAAGTATTGAAGAAACAAGTGGTACAACCAACGTATAGGTAAATTCTGAAGATGAACCAAATGAAAATATAAGACGAAATCAAATCTAATATTTGATCGTCTGTCAAATACTTTTCACCACCGACTCTGAGTCACCAAAAGGAAAACAGACAAATCAATCATAGAAATATACATATCTTTCCGATTGAAGCTTCTTTCAGACTTCAGACGTTGCGTGGTTATGCGAAAACCAAAATTTGCTTCGGTTTATTGACTTGAGTACCAATGGATAGAAAAAAAAAAGGACGTCACAAATGACATGTCATGTCGAATATTACACTTCAACTTCAGCTCCTCGACACTAAAAGTAAAGTGAAGATAAACCATCATACATCTTGAACATAGTGATAGCCTTTCGTTCTGAACTAACTGAAATATGTATTACATCTGAACTGAACTGAATCAGTTGAGCATGCATTCTAACGAACTAAAGTCTGGTGAAATATTCCAGTTAGTTCAGATCGAGAGAATATCACTCACTTTTTGTATCAATTTTGAAACGAAAATGGACGATTTTTGAGTCGGATGCAGACGAACGTTATTTTCATTGTCAAACATTGATAATTGATTCTCTCTGTGAATTCCGATCGCTTACTCTCATTTGTCAAAAGAGATAAACAGGAGCAACAGAGAGGAGCATGCATAACAGATACTCCGTAATTAACGGAATGCAAATACCCAACGGGCATAGCCAACTCTGGATAACTCCGGATGCTGCTTTTACTGCAGAGAAACCATTAACGTAGACCGTAATTGGTGCAACAGGGACCTCAATTATTAGAAATAAGGGCTTCCGGATAATTTTTCGGGCGATGGATATTATTTCGAATAAATTCTTTTCGGTAAGTACTTACGAAGTTTTGCCTGAAAAACAAGAATTTCATAATGAAAATATGACCCAAAAAACTATTTATCGGTTTATCGAGAATTATTTCATTACCACATAATAATTGTAGACAAAATTGAATTATTTTAACGCTTGGAGCGCACGAAAGGAAATTTCTATGATGTTCAAAGAACATCGTGCGTTCCTAGGGAGGATAGGGACAGGAGGTAGGTATTGGAATTACACATAAATAAAGAGCAATATTGGGGATATATGAAGATGTATACAGGCGAACTGGAGGTGAGTTAGAGGAAAATAGGAATAATATTTGTATAGCACATCACAATAATTGATATCGGGAATTCGAGAGGATGACAGACATTATAAAAATCATGGAACTGCGGCAGGAAGAATTTCATTTTATAACAAAAAATATTATACAAGTTTTACACTGTTTCCGTCCTGAAGTTTGTGTGACACTATGCCTCTTGCAGAATATTTTGTACAAGAATCATGTCCAAAGAATATCATATTATATTTTTATACAGGGTGATAACCAAAATAACATTTCTGCTGGTGATTTCGGACATGGTTCGGAGCTGCAGAAAAGTTTCTGGTAGTCGTTCCTATACAGAAACTATACCCCAATGGAAAATGGGGAAGACCACTGAGGTAAGAAATCCGTGCAAACCTCTTTCAATCGACGAATCATGATTTACGTTTGATGTACAATCAATATTATGAGTTGAAGTTGAAGGGAATCGAATCTATATCGTTTTGAAATCAGCATATTTCATTCGATATTTGAAACAGCCAAATATGACGGTGGAGTCGTGACGTATTAGTCCCGAACTGTAGCTATCTCTCTCTGATACCTCGTCATTCTGCAGTGTTGCAGTGTAATTGGACAGTTCAAGGCCAATAGACGTGTTGGGACTAAGACGTCGCACCAGTCACACCAATGAATTGATGAAATTTCAAATGGCGCAGGAATTGTGTGTTTTGAAATGGACATATACTAATTTATTTTTTTCATCGTCTCAGCATGAATGAAAGAATTCAAAATGGTAATTTTTCAGTATAGAGTTCACGATAATGTCGTTTTAAAAAATCAGTGGTCTTCCCCATTCTAAGAGTTCATCTGGTTCTCCCTCAGAGGTTCTCCTTTCCATTTACAATTAATGAAGCAACGGATGTTACTATGACAGACATTCATTAGAAAATTATAATGGAGGAGTCGAAAGTTCCAATTTTCAAATCTGAATATTATTATAGAATATAATTACTTGGAATGTTATTCCGCTGAACAATCATTCGTGTTATAGGTTCCTGATTATATTAATTATTAGGTATATTTTAGTCAATGTTATTTATTTTCTATGTTAACTAAGTTGTTCGAATTACAATTAAACGTTGGTTTTCTTCAATTAGGTATGTTGTGTTCAAATTATTTTTTATTCTTCACAATGAGCGTTCGAAGTCATCCCCAGGACTAAAAATGAAGAATGATGAGTTGACTTTTTTTTAAATCAAAAATAGTATCTGAAGTTGATAGTGGAGCAGCTGAATGTCGGTTTCACATTGTTTTCAACATGTATTACCACACCTTGCCTGGTAACTTTGGAAACTTTTCAAATGAAAAAATGAAATATTCGTGAATACAAAAACAAAGAGGAATATTCTCAGATAAAATTATGAACATAAAAAAATGATTCGTGATTAGGTTTTTTCAATTCAGAATTTCTTTCTACGTCCTGTATGATGAATATCAATTTTTCATACATCCAAAAACACAAAAACAAAAGTTTCATATCGAAATGCAAGTCCTACGTTTAGTGAGTCAAATAAAACGAATTTTCACAAAGTAATGCCGGCACGGAAAAAAAGGAATTGTTGAATCAAGCAAAATTTAATCGAATGGAGCAAATAAAAGTGTCATATATGCACGACAAAATATAATCTTGAAATGAGTAAATCTATATCTTGATTCAGAGCGAATTTGAAGTTTGAAACAAGTGAATATGTCTTGCATGAACTCTGGATCTTCTTCGATCAAGCACATCCATGAATTGTTAATGAAGAAATATTGAATTGGCTCAAACAATCATTTTCTTTGATTCAAAATAGCAAGATATTGATTCAATCAAATATTTAGTTGATTCAACGAAATATTTAGTCGATTCAAAGAAATATTTGGTTGATTCAATGAAATATTTGGTTGATTCAATGAAATATTTGGTTAATTCAATGAAATATTTTGTTGATTTAAGAGAAATTATATATCCATTCGACAAATTGTTTTGACCAAATTCAATATTCGGGAATTTTCTGAAATTTCACATCAATTGAATAAACAACACTAGGAAACTAGTCGTCTCCTAGCAGAGATCTTTAGTCTTCACTTCTCTTAGCTGATTGAAAACTATTTCGGATTGCTATTCATCCTGAGTTCGATTTATCCAGCTGATATTTCAAACACAAAGAATCAGGCTTCACGTATATAATGAATTCGAGGCATGCATA